TATATATATATATATATATATATATATATATATATATATATATATATATATTTTATTTTTTTTTTGCATGTTAAAGTAAAAAATGTAACTAAAAACAAAAATAATACGGGCAAGATTGATTTCGAAAGTTTCGCCCTTGATTAAGTAGAGCGTAAGGTTAGCTGTTGGTCTGAGATGTTTAAATTATTTTGTTACATCTTGATACATTATTTATGGTTAATTTAAATATGTGTACAAAGAATAATTGTAATCTCTCTGAATAGTGTAACCCCTCAGTGTCTTTATGTGTATCCTCAGAAAGCTCAAATTCCGAAACCAGTTTCATCGGATGTCTTTACTTACATCTACCACCACAAGACCTACACCTGTATGACATAAAGACCTCGCGACACTGTGATCTGTAAGAGCTGGTGACCTTGTAGGCCTATGACGACCAGATTGAGTTGCAATGATTGCTCACACAAGACATAATTAGAAAACAGTAAACAACAGCGAATCGTTCTTAACAGTCAACAATAGTGGATGGGTTATGACAGTCAACAACAGCAGATGGTTTATGACAGTTAACAACAGCGAATAGTTCTTGACAGTCAACAACAGCGTATGGATCTTGGATCGATCACTTAACTGTCAACGTCACAACGAGGAAGGAGTGACAAGCAATCTATGGATTATTCAGCATGCACTTTGGCATGTGTTAAATATGCACCGACATCACGACACCGACATCACGACACCGACATCATGACTTCATCAGACATCCTCATTACATTCTGTTTCAAGTCGCCTAGACAACAGAACCCTACTCATCCTAGCATCGAGTGGGGCTACTAGGGTCAGTGTCACCCATAACTGTAACCTCAACGTGTCACCCCGTTCAGACATCTCCATCTTCACCATCGACTCCACCCCAGTCTCTGTTGACACATTGTTTGGGAGGCGCCCTATACTGTTGGAACACTTCTCTGGTGATAACATGTTTTGACGACACCCTATACTGTTGGAGCACTTCTCTGGTGATATCATGTCTCTGGTGAAGCACTTCTCTGGTGATACTGCGTTTTGACTACGCCCTATTCTGGTGGAACGCTTCCCTGGTGATACCATATGATGACGACGTTATGTCATTGCTGTTTTCCTTTAAACCGCCACTCTAATCTTTATTTAAAATCAATGGCGGCCGCAGTGAACTTCCCATCCATTGAAGTTACTTGACAAAACATGCACTCAAGTGACGTACTTGACAAAACATGCACTAAAGTGACGTATTTGACAAAACATGCACTCAAGTGACGTACTTGACAAAACATGCACTCAAGTGACGTACTTGACAAAACATGCACTCAAGTGACGTACTTGACAAAACATGCACTCAAGTGACGTACTTGACAAAACATGCACTCAAGTGACGTACTTGACAAAACATGCACTCAAGTGTCGTACTTGACAAAACATGCACTCTAGTGACGTACTTGACAAAACATGCACTCTAGTGACGTACTTGACAAACCATGCCCTCAAGTGACGTACTTGACAAAACATGCACTCAAGTGACGTACTTGACAAACCATGCCCTCAAGTGACGTACTTGACAAAACATGTACTCAAGTGACGTACTTGAAGACTCCTGATTAGTGCTACACTTCCGCCCCCCACCCCCCTGCCCCCCCAAGTCACGCTATCGCACACTTTTTGTTTTCAATCCCGTCAACTCTATTAACATTCTGATCTCCCACCTGCTTCTACAGCGCAGATTTAAGCACCACGTTCACATTGAGACTATTGCATTTTCTGTCAAACAAAAGAAAACGTTGCGCCCCAGACTCACACTTGCGGTCTTTTTAGGAATAGCATTTAGGGCCGTTGTCGGGAATTTGGTTTATTTCACGAAATCAGCGCCACCTGCTAGAGGAGGAGATAGTGTCACATAGACAATTATAGAGTTGATTCGAGTTTCTTTGATGAAGGTGTCATTTGCCACAGACTTTAATGCACACATCCCCCCCCACCCCCCCCCCCCCCCCCAAATAAGCTCATTGAAATCGTCTACAAGGCGTAAACAATGACGTCATCATCCAATAATATTTGGCGGTTGAAACTGATTTGATATCAAGATTATATTTTGAACTATTTTCGACACTAAATATATAAATTACAGTCGACAAAGCCGCAATTTTATTGATCCGTTTGACGCATAAAATTAATAAGATACGATAAGATAGGTTAAGATAAAATAATATTCTTTATTGATCCAAATGAATGGAAATGTCTGTTTTTTGTATGACATTGTGTATATTCGTTTTCAGCACATAAATAAAAGATAAAAATTTAAACACAAGACATTTAAAGCATTTCTCCGGCGTAGAAATCAGCCTTTACTGAACTCCTATAGTGACAATATTTAGGGATCATTTAGAGTTTGTCACCGCTGTGGGAGCACGCTGATCAATTCTAACAGGCTGGGGAACAAAATAATTTTTTATATCATCAAATAATATCATTCCTAAAATAATATCATCTGTTGGTTATCAGCTAGAGCAGTTTTATACAAAACGAAATGATCATTTCGGGAGCTATCATTTAACAGTAGGTAAAATATTAGATAGATTTATTGCGGAAACAAAATAACAGCTGCCATTCTAAAAAACGTGAACAGTGAAATACTTACAACTCTCGAAACGTTGGAATACAAATTAAATCAAATTAGTTGTTTCCTGTGTTAGACTAAACATGATTTGTAAATCCCCATTTCCTTCAGTGGTCTCCTAGGTTAGACTGAACATGGCTGACGTCTCACTATTTACTTCAGTGGTCTCCTAGGTTAGACTGAACATGGCTGACATTTCATCTCGCTATTTCTTTTAGATGTCTGGTGTTTTAGAACAAACATGGCTGACATCTCACTATTTGCTTTAGTGGTCTCTAGTATTGGACTTAACATGGCTGACATCTCACTATTTGCTTTAGTTGTCTCTAGTATTAGACTAAACATGGCTGACATCTCACTATTTGCTTTAGTCGTCTCTAGTATTAGACTAAACATGGCTGACATCTCACTATGTGCTTTAGTCGTCTCTAGTATTAGACTTATACATCCCAAGAGCGCAAGCTTAATAGCTTCCATATGAGATGCCTGCGTCGCATCCTTGGTATTAAATGGCAAGAAAAAGTGACTAATAGTGAGATCCTAATGCGTGCGAATACCCAAAGCATGTTCACAATCCTTAGTGAAAGACGCCTGAGATGGCTAGGTCATGTTAAAAGAATGAGTCCCGGCCGCATTCCGAAAGAACTCCTATATGGTGAACTTGCTGCTGGAAATAGGAAAACAGGTTGCCCACGTCTGCGATTTAAAGATGTCTGTCAAAGGGACATGAAAGCAGCCAAAATACATACAAGTGATTGGGAGTGTAAGGCAAAAGACCGATCTACGTGGCGCACAGTTGTCAAAGAGGGCGTCATGGTAGCCGAGGAGCGAAGAATGGAAGAGGCTGCAGACAGAAGAGCTAGGAGAAAGGCCAAAACATTTAGAAGCACGGAACTCGTGTGTAAAAACTGTGGTAAAGACTGTCACTCAAGGATAGGACTGCACAGCCATTCGAGAAAATGCAACCCAACCCAACGGTGATGCACCATCGTCTCACGAGACGGAAGGATGCCGATAACAGTATTAGACTTAACATGGCTGACATCTCACTATTTGCTTTAGTGGTCTCTAGTATTGGACTTAACATGGCTGACATCTCACTGTTTGCTTTAGTGGTCTCTAGTATTGGACTTAACATGGCTGACATCTCACTATTTGCTTTAGTCGTCTCTAGTATTAGACTTAACATGGCTGACATCTCACTATTTGCTTTAGTCGTCTCTAGTATTGGACTTAACATGGCTGACATCTCACTATTTGCTTTAGTCGTCTCTAGTATTAGACTTAACATGGCTGACATCTCACTATTTGCTTTAGTCGTCTCTAGTATTGGACTTAACATGGCTGACCTCTCACTATGTGCTTTTTTGGTCTCTAGTATTGGACTTAACATGGCTGACCTCTCACTATGTGCTTTTTTGGTCTCTAGTATTGGACTTAACATGGCTGACATCTCACTGTTTCCTTGAGTGGTTGCCTGTGTTAGACTTAACATGGCTGACATCTCACTCTTTCCTTTAGTGGTCGCCTGTGTTAGACTAAACATGGCTGACATCTCATTGTTTTCCTTTATCTTCCCATTATTTACTTTGTTGACAGCTGTTTATGTTCGCCATGGCTCCAGTGATCGCTGCCAACTGAATTAATTTGTATTTTCCTTCCGCCTGGCTCACCGCTGTGTGTTACGTCGGCTCTCATAATCCAACTCATCCCAATGATTATTCTCAAACGGGATGTTCCCGGAATGGCCCGCGGCTTATTTAGTGTTTCAATTGGTTAAGCTGATTTTTTTTTTTTAAAGATCAGCTTGTTTTGCCGGGGCTAATTATCAAACTCACCTTGCCACCTTAGATAACCATGTGAAATCCTAACGTGACCTTC